ACTAATAATATTCTCTTTAAATGCACATTATTACTAACTCTTTTTTATAAAATTACTAGATAAGAAATTATATAAATTTACATAAACTTATATGAATTTATATAATATCTTACAAGTAACTTTCACTTACATAAATATATATCAAACAATTAATAATATTATTGTCATTTATGCATACCAAAAAAGTGTACAAGGTTGATGGTGCAGACAATTCTTAAATTTGCTAAGGCTAGGGTTAGGGTTAGGATCCAGAAAGAATAGTTTATATAGTAAATTGTACAACAAAACCTTTTTGCTAAAGTACAAAAGGTTTGGTTTCTTATACTGATTTTTGAGCTATAGGTGATTTTTTGCAGAATGAACATTTGTTTTGAATCTTACTGATTGTGCTATATTATATCTGATTTATAGTTCATGAGAGCTGCGCTGCCAACCTTATACATATTTTCGGTATGCATTTATGTAATATTACATAAAATATAGACCTTCGAAGTTCGTGATGTAAAAATGCATACTTATAGTTAATAATAAAGATATATATAGAGATTTAACTATTATAAAAATTATGAATTTAACTTACAGCTTGTGATCTCCACTTTAAGTCATAAATTACGACCTTTCTTGTTGTTGATTCTTCATCTGTTTCTGAGACTTTTGGGGAATAGTAACAATTTCTAGTCTGTAGTTTCTTTAGATCTTCTTTTTTTATCTTTCTAATTAGTTTATCGTTTACTTCTATTAAATGATCAATCGCTCTTGCTCTTCGTCGTCTTTTCTATTATTAAAGACAAGTCTTAATATATAAATAGTTAAATTTAGAGGTGTTAAACAAACCTGTAAATTTTGACAATAGTAGTTACTGTAGTAATCCCAATGGTCAAACTGATCAAACTCAAATGTCAAAATTTCAAACATTTCAAATAAAGATCATTTATACAACTTTCACTGCAGAAAAGAGACTGAAAAATTATTATAATGACAGGTTTGTTTGGAATTTGGGATTAGCATACCGAAAATGTGTACAAGGTTAACGGTATAGACAATTTTTAAAATTCGTTAAGGCTAGGGTTAGGGTCAAGTTAAGATCTAAAAAGAGATAGTTTATATAGTAAATTGTACAACAAAAACTTTTTGTTAGAGTACAAAAGGTGGTTTCTTATGTTGATCTTTGAGTTATGGGCGATTTTTGCAGAATAAACATTTGTTTTAAATCTTTCTGATCATGTTACATTATACCTAATCTTGAAATTTGATTCATAGTTTAGGAGCCAACCTTGTACACATTTTTGGTATTGGTATACTTGGG